GAGAGTTAGGACCCAAAGCTTCTTCCCGCCCAGCTTAGGGCAAGCTGGCTGCGTTCTGGGAGGCTGCTCAGAGGTCCCGGGCTCTCTGAGGCAGGAATGATGTCTTCTGGTGTTGTACAGCCCAGCAGGGTCTTACGTGCAGTATTTGGTTTCAAAAAATCCTTTTCCTAATGTGTGATTGGGTCAGTAATCCCTCTTTTGCTTCTCCTTCTGCCAGGTCGCCATAAAGATAATTGATAAGACACAGCTGGATGAAGAGAACCTGAAGAAGATATTTCGAGAAGTTCAGATCATGAAGATGCTTTGCCACCCACACATCATCAGGCTATACCAGGTAGGAGCACTCCGCAGTGGGCCTTCCGTCCCTCTGCACTATAGCTTTGCCCTGTACAGAAGCGCTTTCTCTAGGGTTATCCCTTCATCTCTCCTAGGTGGAATACTGGGAAAGCCCTTCATGTTTTCAAGGTCTCGGAGTACTTTGATTAGAGGGGCGGAGGGGGGGAAAGTGTGGCTAATCCTTCTCTTTTCTGGGAGATCACGCTTCCGCTGCGGGCTGGCCTCTTGCCATTTGTTTATGGCTGTTGTGTGCTTTTCAGTTTCCCAGTTGAAACCGGATGCGGGCTCCCCTTCTCAATTTAAGGGAGAGAGTAAGTCTCGCCCGCTAGCAGGACTGAAAGCCTGCTGCTCCCCTGCTCTCCTCCCCCTGCCCGGTGGCCTGCGGCCCTGAGGGCTTGCTGATCTGCTCCCTGCTTTCCTGGAAGATGATCGATAGCGGCGGCAGAGCTGCTTTTGAATACTGTTTGCAGGCTTTTTCTCCAGCTCATTTGGCACTTTCAGTCTGCAAAGAAAACCAGCAGAGAGAGAATCCATGTGTGTTGCCTTTTACTCCTGTATTTGGTGGTGTCCTTCCGACTGCACGATCAGATAGAACAGCAAGGAAGCTGCAACAGGCTGGAGGCAAGCAGAGTGATGGGAGCAGAGGAATAACGGAGGCCACCACCTTGGTGAAATGTTAAATGCTGTCTCGGAAGCTGTTGGACAGATGAGAGACTCCCTCCCCGGGCCTTTCTGACGCAAGGGCTGGCAGCAGCGACTTACAGCCAAGGAGCGCTAAAAAGCTCTGCACAAACTCTCCTCTGTTGCTTGCAGTCCCAGTTCTGGGAAGCTGTGGGACAGAGGCTCCTTCCCAGGATCCTGCCAGAGCTGCCCACCGGCTGCCAGGTTCACGCAGAGCTACCTGCCCCTTTGCTGCGGCAGGATGCTTGCCAGAGGGCTCACGGTCACAGGCTGCTTTGGGAACAGAGGGGACTTCCATCCAAGCTGTGGATGGAAAGTTAGCGCTGCCTCGGGCTGGCATGCAAAGCAGAGGAAGGGCTGTCCAGGGCCCTTCATCCCGGGAAAGTGTTTGGGTGTAAGGTGGTTGATCTCCTGTTTGTGGCTGCTTGGCTTGGATGGCAGGCATCGGAATGTTAAAAAGCTGAAATCCTGGGGGAAACGTGCTGGGGTTATTTCCTTCTGTGATGTAATGTTTGTGTGAGCATTTTAAGGGAGAAGTCGTGGTAACCCTCAACAGAAGTTGCCCTTCCCTAGAACCAGCTCTTGGCTGTTCAAGCCCAGTCTGCCTCTCATCTGTGCCTGATAGATGGGAGAATTTATTTGGACTTCAAAGAGTTAAGGCTGGGTAGAAGTGACAGAGGTTAATGTTTAGCTATTTTGGCCAAGCTGCCAAGGGTGAGATGCTTACAGCAGAACTGCAGCATTTTTAAGGTACTTAGGGAATGCTGCTTTGCAAACTGACTCCTTAAAGGTGTTTGGTTTTCTTTTTTTGAGCTCCCAACCCCCTTTTTCAACCTGTTTTATTCCATGCAAAGTTTTTGATGTGGTACTGAACAGGTGACACCCGTGGCTCAGCTTTGCTAAGGTGAGCAAAGCGTGCCCACTGTGGAGCATGTTTCAGCTGGCCGCTCTCGCTGGGGGCTCTTAGTGGCATTTTTTGTTAGATAAAAACTACTAAAACCTGGAGTTGGGAATTCGGAGCCTTTCACCCCTTTCCATTGGGAATCTGAGCTTAAAAATCACATTTCCTTCAGCTTATAAAACTTAAAAGGTGTAGGTGAGAAAGGAGAAATGGTCTGTAATGGTAGTCATCTATAACAGAAGAGATTCCATCTGGAAACAGAAATGTGCTTAAAAATGTCTACCTAAGGCTTTTCTGGACGTGTAGTGTCACCGCGAAGTGGGAGCTGCCTGTTGTGCCCCGTGACACTTACGCGGAGCTGGGGTTCGTCTTTGCTACGCTCCCGGTTTACCGCTCAGAAGAACAGCAATCCAGCTGTGGAAGCGGCTGCCGTTGCCTGGATCAGGCGTGTGTTTTTTAAAATACAAAGTCCGTGTGTTCGAGTCCTAATTCTTGGTAAGACCAAGCGGTCCTGGGCTCCAAGTACCCAGCTTCTCTGTTGGGATACCAGTCTGCTTCCTGCCAAAAGGTGAGCTTTCACTTGTCTCTGAAACAGAAAAGCCAAGCCAAAAGCAAAATGTTTCCAGGCCTTCTCTAAACCCCCAGGTGTATCGAGGTTGACCTGCGGTGCCCGGCACCGGAGGTTCAGCGCCGCGGTCCAGGAGGTGAAACACGCTGTGTTTTTCCATTGGCAAAGCTGTGAAGCCTGTTAAATAAATAGCGTCGAGTTTTGCAAAACACCCCAAGCGTGTGCCTGCCTGAAGGCGGTCACAAAACACAATCCGGTCATGGAACAGCCCTCGGAGCCACCCGTACCGAATCTGGGGGCAGGAAGGTGTTCTGTGCTGCTTTTTCTGCGCTCGGCGTGACTGTACGTCACCCGCTGCCTATTAAACACTACACATATAGCTGAGGCCTGCCTATAGCGCCTTGCCCTACGCCTTTCTGCTCTTCTGCATCCCCATAGGGACTTGCCAAGGCGTTGCTGTCTCCGTCAGCCCCTCGCTGCCTCTGTCTGCGTGGCGCCCGGTCCTTTAGCGAAGCCCCATCTAATCGATTGCTGGCCTTGGCCTGTTGGACTGCTGCGGCCCCACGATCCTAATGCTCTCTGAGAAGTGTGTTAAAAACGGGGTGTTACTGGCTGAAACGTGCGGACCCCCTGAAGCAGAGCCTGGCTTATTTCTCAGGTCTTGAGTCATTGACAGGTCCCTTATCGATTCAGTAAATGTTCCCCCCCTTTGGCAAAATCGCGTTGGTTATTTCAGTGCCTGCGATGGACTGGGGAATTCGAAAGGTGAATTAGGTGGTTGCGGCAGCCCTGGGAAGTTTCCCAGGCTGCTGGAACAAGATAAAACCGGGGAGCAAAAGCTGAAGGGAGGGGAAGTAGGAGGAAGCTGCAGGTGAAGTGCTGTGTTTAGTTACACGTGTAGTATTTAAAACTGGTTTGATTCTTTCCCCGCTCCTGTCCATTCCTTCGCATCGCTCTGTAAAGCATGGCAAAGTAATATTGTTTGATCTGTTGAAAGCCGTTGCGTGTCTTACAGAAGGAATAAAAACTTTCAACGAGTTCTGTTTCTTTCTGCGCACGGCGGTCTCCTTACCTGTCACTTTTCTGTCCTTGCTTCCAGGTTATGGAGACGGAGCGGATGATTTATCTAGTGACAGAGTACGCTAGCGGAGGGGAAATATTTGGTAAGTACATTTATTGTGTTCTTTAATCAGATAATGCACTTGGTCAACTGCAGTAACCTGCAAAGAGCTGCCGCGCTCTCGTTTCAGTTGAGAGGTGCCCTTCAGCCTGACGGCTTTCCGCTGACAGGAGGGGTAAAGACACAAATGACACCAACTTGGCGGAAAAATAACGTCCGTAACCTCTGTTTTCTTCTTTGGGTCTCATTGGCAGGTGGTGCTGCTCCTCTTCTATGCCCGCTTTGGGATTAAAGGTGTTGGAAATAGGCATCCAGTCGGATTTTAAAGTGTTGCTGAATACTTTGCTTCCCAGCAAGCCATGTGAAGCTTGTGAACTGTAGCAGAAACGTTGGTGTCTGTTAGAAGCTTTCAAAGCAAGAGGCTGTCCCACGGTTCTGTAGTATTTTGTCCTCAGAGCTGTGTATTTTCTTGTCTTTTGATACCTGATGCTATCTTAGCATGTATTAGTTACATCCATTTTAAACTCCGTTGGCTGCTAACAATGTTTTGGCTGAGCTTTTTTGACCACAGAAGCTATTCTTTAAAGGAAAAAAAACTATCTGTGCAGCGCAATTGCAAGAGCTGTTGAGTGATTGATTAATTTGGCTGGTTTATTGCCATGACCACTAAGAAACTCGCAGAAATAGAGATTTCCTTACACGCTGGCATTTTGTGCCAAGGGACAGTCAGAATTTTGCAGCTTTGGTCCTTACTAGCTAAGCCAACCTGAGTCTCGGAGGAGGGGGAAAGTCCTTGGTGCTTGAAGTGAGCCGTCGTAAATCTGCTTCCAGGCAAGGTCCTTGGGAGGACAGTCACGCGCGGCCTGTCAGCTAAAGGGAAATACGCTCCTTTTTGTCCTGTTCAGTCATCGCCGTAGATTCGCTGTCGGCGTCGGAGCCTCTCACTCTGCTGGAACTGAGGCCGAGTTGCAAGAAAAGATGAAGCTCTTAGGGAAGCAAGAAAAGCTTGAGGAAAATGAGACAACCTGAGCTGCAAAATGCTGGTTTGCAGTGATTGTAGTCCACGACCCATTCCTCAGTACCTCTGTAGATGGCTGTCATGCCGCCTTCTCGGCATTGTCCGTGGCTTTTGGATTCCTTCTCTGAGAAGGTGACAGCTGAAGGAAGCAGCGTGGAATGTTTGGGGAGTCTGGATCACCGGGTGAAAACCCCGACTTCCTCCAGCTGAGTCTTGCAGTTGTTTCCTCAAACGTGAGTCACGGTGCCAGGCACCCAGCAGTTCCGAGGGCTTGTGAAATTCGGCTTGCCTTGTCATTTGCAAGCCGTAATTGCAGCAAAAGCTCTTGAACGTGCACTGGAGTTCGCCTGTGTGTGGATCACTGCAGAAAAGCATAAATCCCTTTTTGCTTTTTCTCCCTCTTCTGTTGAATTTGGCAGAGATGGGCTCATCTTTTTTTAAATCCAGAACTATGTGCGAGCTCGTGTACAAACTTGGAATGAATTCTCTGGGTTACAGAAATAGCGCTCTACATGAGTCGACGTGAAAATCTAATTGCTCTCTGAAATATTTTATGCCGTAGTAAATTCAGCTCATTAGCATGGCAAATTTCCATTACGCTGCCCAGCGTTTTATCCTCCTCGGTAGCTGGGAGCAGCCCTGACGCTTTTCCAGACCGAAGCCAGGAGGCCATGCCCCTGCTAGCCTGTTCCGAGCGGTTTTGGGCGCTGCACGAGGCCCTGCGCGCCCTCGGCGTTAGAGCAGAGCGGGGGAAACTGAAGTCTCAGCTTTTTGTAATCAGAGTTTCCTGAGGAGCCATTAAGACTTTGTTCTCGCTGCGGAAGCAATTTACGGGGAGGAAACGGCAACCCATTTTGGAAAGGCTTCCTTGCGGTCGTTAGCATCTCCAGCACTGAAGAATCTCACGTCCTCATGCTGTTGAGAGAAGGTCTCTCGGCACGGGCTGGCTTCGCACCCGCTCCGGCCCTTGCGTGGCGTCGTGCAGCGGATGGAAGCTGGGCCTTACCTAATTCCTAAGGGGAAAACTTGCGCGTTTCGACGTTGCTTCGATGCAGCACCCATCCCTTTTACGGCAGGTTGGTGAGGAACCGCTGGCTCTGCGTTAAGCGTGCCTGTGCTGAGCCTTCTCGCTCTTTTTCTTGACTGTCTCGGCATCTGCGTGACCTCGGTTGTAACGCAGAAGTGCAGTGCTGAGCCTCGGAACCGGGGAGGCTGACAGCCCGGGTTTGCTGGATGCTAAACGCTCGGTGCAAGGCTGAGTGCCTCCTGTCATCTGAAATACAGCGTCACGCTCCCCTGAACTGCAAGGCTTTGGTAGAGGTAAATCTAAGTCGTTTCCCTTGATGCTTTTAAAAGCCTTCTGAAGGTTTCACAGAATTACAGAATCGCAAGGGTTGGAAGGGACCTCGGGAGATCATCTAG